GGTAAAAAAAAAAAAATTTTTTTTCCCGAAAAGCTTTTTTCATGGGGGTTTTTTTCACCCCCCCCCCCCCCCCCCCCCCCCACTCTTTTCATTTTCTTGTACTACTCTCAATTTACTTATTTTACAAGCCAGTTTTCAAAAGTGGACTGGGATGTTTTGATGGAGTCTTATATTTTTCGGCTTAAAGAAGGATATAAAAACTCCTCACTGCTCTTTAATTTCCTCATTCTTTAGAATTAGTCCCCACCCCACCCATCTCTCCCTGGGGCCAAGAAATTATGTCTTTGAGTTATATTGAAATTTGTGAGTTTATTTTTTGAATATATTTGAAATTGAATGGAAAGGGAAAGAATGAGTAGAAAAAAAACAAATTTGTTGCATTTTTCTGAGATATCAAAAAATATCCAGAAATTTAATATTTTTATGTTAAATTTAGAAAAAAAATTGAAATTTTTAACGTTCTTTTTGAACAAAAAAAAAAAATGGAAAAAACATTAACAGAAAGTTAAAGAAAAAATTAAAACATATTTTGATGCAAATTATTTTTGTTTGCATGTGGCGCAAATTTGTGAAAAATATCTGCCAAGGTCTTTCCTTTATCCATCTCCATTTTGTTAATGCAGTCCAGTTGGCATCAGAAAAACTATTGAAGTAACTATGTAGTTAGTACATTGCCTTGTGTTAATGTAACAAAATTGAAGACTTGATTCATTACCATGGATACATGAAACAAAAGATTTGCTATTATACTTGCTTTTGCTCATATTTTGAATATTGGTGCTTGTCAGAGCTCTGCTAAAATTATAATCATTTTATAAAATGAAAATGAACACTTAGAAGTTCGTTACGAAAAAAATTCAAGATGAACCATATTATTGTGAGAATTGGAGACGTGTGTTATATATACATGTTCCATAGCAGCACTGGCTGAGGCATATGAAAGTTTAATATTTAAAATTAAGAAATCACAGTTGCTGAATTTGTGCTCAGATTTTGAGTGATGGTCCATTCCACATCTTTAACATTTTCATTGAAATGAAATAACGGAATGGAGCTTGAAACAAGATTCTGAGGATGTGGAAAAATTTCAGAAATAATCAGCAATCAAAATTAGTTGCAAGGGTTAAAATTACGAAATGAGATAATATCAGAATCAAATAAAGTTTCAGCAAGAATAACAAAATGCTGATAATGTGATAAAGTAGATTAACTCCAATTAAGTATGAAATGCTGATAAAGCAAAATAGTTGCTCAACACTAATTAAAAACTCTTTTTAACTTTTTATACGCCCACATGAAATGGCAAGCTATCTTTATAAGAGGTGAGCAACTATTTCGCTGTTTCAGCATTTTCTAGTTACTAATGCAACTAGATACCTGTTAAATCAAGCTTGATTGAGTTGTTTTGTTTTGTTTTTTTGAGACAAGGGTCTCAGCCCCGAAGATAAGTCACTGGACTGCAGTCATTCACTATAATCCATGATTTACATAATGTTACAGACTTGTTATTTTTTCTTTTTTTAACAAAATATCAAAGATAAAAATAACTAAAAGTATCTTTGTTGTTTTTATTTCATCTCCCACTGTCCTGCAAACTTTACTCCATTGCACACTGCATGATGTGTCAACACAAGTCCATTTGAACATCAACTTCTGAAGAGGATGTCTTGTTGAAAAGAGTTCCGAGTTGACAATCTATGGAAAGGATTAGCATGTCCTGGAAGGCTATGGTTCACCACAATACTGTTAAGTTGTTACCCAGATCTCAAATCAATTGTAAATCCCCTATGCCTGTAGTATTGTGGAATAACCAGCCACGTGACTGAGAGTTAAAACTACTGAATAAATCTCAAAGCAGGTATCCCCCCCCCCCCTCCCCCCTATTCAAACTACCAAAATTAGATTATCTCTGTTAATAACCAGCTGTATCTGAACCACGAGTTCTTGACCCGAGATGAACTTTTGTATGTTGAATCTTGAAAAACGCCCATAGGCTCAGACATAATAATTGTGCAATGACATTTTAGTGGTGTCGCAATGATCTTCAGGCACAGAATAAAGTTACTGATAGAAATACAAAAATTTATATTTACGGCAGATTTCACATATTTTTTGTTATATATAGTAAAAGAATGTTCCTAAAACTAACCATGACAAATACTCAGACGGAAGCGAATAGGTGCCGAGGGTTCGAATCCTCTGTAAGAAATATGTCGTGCCAGTGCTTCTGAGACTCTGCCCGGTGTCGGTTCTCGTCCTAACACTTGACAAATACCCTAAAGACACACTGCACTATATTCAACAAAATGCAAGACCATCCGAGATATGGTGCCGGCCCGACTTTATAGAATGCTTTGCTATTG